CCGCATGACTCTTCTGCAAGCAATGGAAGAGGCATGTGGAGACATTGAGGTGGGATCAATCCAAGGGTGGATTCGGCACACAAGGCAATATTTTCCCCGATGCTTAGCCCGCGAGGACATCGCCTGTGATGTTGACGAGGTCTTGTGGCCAGATCCGAACAGAAGGCGTGATCCATAAGCCCCCCCGGCCCCCACCACACACACGCACACACAAAACAAGTATATGTTTTTCCCCCAATAGCAATTTATCCAGTAATTGTTTTGTTTTTTTACTTTGTTTTGTTGCTAAATTTGATGTTAAGAATTTCTGTAAGAATGTTTGTTTTTGTAAAAAAAAAATGTAAATACTGTTTGATTACTGCAGAAATTCTACTTTTGAGTTTTACAGAAGACAATGACAATAAAATGACAATAAAAATAGAAACACAAAGACTGCAGTGTTTTATATAAAGCCCATCAGTGTGTTGCTGGTGATATGAAAGAGTAATTCAAATGTTGATTGTGTGTGTGGTTTTGTTGCAAGAATTTCATTTTTAGAAAGGAGTGTTAAGTTTTGATTGCAGTGTTTCATTTTGGCATATATGTGAGTTGTTAATCTCCAAGTGCTATGTCTGATTGGCTTGTGTGTTGAGTTTTGACATAATGAGCCAAATTCTGCAAAAAGTGTGTAAGCAATAGGCAAAAACTGTAACACCCCGGCCGTCCTACAATCTAAACTAGATGCCCTCAATCTCACACAAATTATGAAGGAACCTACCAGGTACAACCCTAAATCCGTTAACATGGGCACCCTCATAGATATCATCCTGACTAATTTACCCTCTAAATACACCTCCGCTGTCTTCAACCAGTATCTCAGCGATCACTGCCTCATTGCCTGCCTCCGTAATGGGTCCGCGCTCAAACGACCACCCCTCATCACTGTCAAATGCTCCCTAAAACACTTCAGCGAGCAGGCCTTTCTAATTGACCTGGCCCGGGTATCCTGGATGGATATTGACCTCATTCCGTCAGTAGAGGATGCCTGGTTGTTCTTTAAAAGTGCTTTCCTCTCCATCTTAAATAAGCATGCCCCATTCAAAAAATTCAGAACTAAGAACAGATACAGTCAGGGAAAAAACTATTTGATCCCCTGCTGATTTTGTACGTTTGCCCACTGACAAAGACATGATTAGTCTATAATTTTAATGGTAGGTTTATTTGAACAGTGAGAGACAGAATAACAAACAAAAAATCCAGAAAAATATATGTCAAAAATGTTATAAATTGATTTGCATTTTAATGAGGGAAATAAGTATTTGACCCCTCTGCAAAACATGACTTAGTACTTGGTGGCAAAACCCTTGTTGGCATTCACAGAGGTCAGACGTTTCGTGTAGTTGGCCACCAGGTTTGCACACATCTCAGGAGGGATTTTGTCCCACTCCCATTTGCAGATCTTCTCCAAGTTATTAAGGTTTCGAGGCTGACGTTTGGCAACTCGAACCTTCAGCTCCCTCCACAGATTTTCTATGGGATTAAGGTCTGGAGACTGGCTAGGCCACTCCAGGACCTTATTGTGCCTCTTCTTGAGCCACTCCTTTGTTTCCTTGGCCATGTGGTTTGGGTCATTGTCATGCTGGAATACCCATCCACGACCCATTTTCAATGCCCTGGCTGAGGGAAGGAGGTTCTCACCCAATATTTGACGGTACATGGCACCGTCCATCGTCTCTTTGATGCGGTGAAGTTGTCCGGTCCCCTTAGCAGAAAAACACCCCCAAAGCATAATGTTTCCATCTCCATGTTTGACGGTGGGGATGGTGTTCTTGGGGTCATAGGCAGCATTCCTCCTCCTCCAAACACGGCGAGTTGATGCCAAAGAGCTCGATTTTGGTCTCATCTGACCACAACACTTTCACCCAGTTCTCCTCTGAATCATTTAGATGTTCATTGGCAAACTTCAGACGGGCCTGTATATGTGCTTTCTTGAGCAGGGGGACCTTGCGGGCGCTGCAGGATTTCAGTCCTTCACGAAATAGTATGTTACCAATTGTTTTCTTGGTGACTATGGTCCCAGCTGCCTTGAGATCATTGACAAGATCCTCCCATGTAGATGTGGGCTGATTCCTCACCGTTCTCATGATCATTACAACTCCACGAGGTGAGATCTTTCATGGAGCCCCAGGCCGAGGGAGATTGACAGTTCTTTTGTGTTTCTTCCATTTGCGAATAATCGCACCAACTGTTGTCACCTTCTCACCAAGCTGCTTGGCGATGGTCTTGTAGCCCATTCCAGCCTTGTGTAAGTCTACAATCTTGTCCCTGACATCCTTGGAGAGCTCTTTGGTCTTGGCCATGGTGGAGAGTTTGGAATCTGATTGATTGATTGCTTCTGTAGACAGGTGTCTTTTATACAGGTAAAAAACTGTGATTAGGAGCACTCCCTTTAAGAGTGTGCTCCTAATCTCAGCTCGTTACCTGTATAAAAGGACACCTGGGAGCCAGAAATCTTTCTGATTGAGAGGGGGTCAAATACTTATTTCCCTAATTAAAATGCAAATCATTTTTTATAACATTTTTGACATGGTTTTTCTGGATTTTGGTGTTGTTTATTCTGTCTCTCACTGTTCAAATAAACCTACCATTTAAAATTATACACTGATCATTTCTTTGTCAGTGGGCAAACGTTACAAAATCACAGGGGATCAACCTACTTTTTTCCCTCACATTATTAGCCCCCTGGTTCACCCCCAGATTTCTTGCCTTGCCATTCGGACCCAGCACAAAAAACCATCCCTGTCGGCTTTCTCCCGATTAGCAGCGCACACAGCCCCCCCCCCCCGCGATATGCAACTTTTCAGGGAAGTTCAGGAACCAATTTAAAACACATCCGTAGGAAAGCAATTAGGCTAACTCTTTCAAACAGAACAATGCCTGCCATCATGTAGCACTAAACCTCCAAAAACGTTTTGGGGGACACTGTAAAGTCCATGGAGAATAAGAGCACCTCCTCCCAGCTGCCCACTGCACTGAGGCTAGGAAACACTGTCACTACCGATAAATCTATTATAATCAAAAATTTCAACAAGCATTTTGCTAAGGCTGGCCATGCTTTCCACCTGGCTACCCCCTACCCCAGCCACCAGCTCTGCACCCTCCGCTGCAACTTGCCCAAATCCCACCGTACCTTCTCCGCTATGCAATCTGGTTCCGACGCTGGTCATGGGTGTACCCTCAGCCACGCTCAAGGTCCTAAACGATATAATTACCGCAATCGATAAAAGACAGTACGTGTTGTAAGCCGTCTTATTGACCGGGCCAATGGCTTTTGACCTCTGTCAAATCACCAGCAGTTCTATTGGCAGACTAAATAGCCTTGGGTTTCTCAAATGACTGGCGCCTCGCCTGGTTCACCAACTACTTCTCAGATAGAGTTCAATGTGTCAAATCGGAGGGCCTGTTGTCTGGACCTCTGGCAGTCTCTATGGGTGTGCCACAGGGTTCAATTCTCGGGCCGACTCTATTCTCTGTGTATATCAATGATGTCGCTCTTGCTGCTGGTGACTCTCAGATCCACCTCTATGCAGACGACACCGTTTTGTATACATCTGGCCCTTCATTGGACACTGTGTTAACAAACCTCCAAACGAGCTTCAATGCCATACAACACTCCTTCCGTGGCCACCAACTGCTCTTAAACGCTAGTAAAACTAAATGCATGCTCTTCAATCGAACGCTGCTTGCACCCGACTGCCCGACTAGAATCACTACTCTCGGCGGGTCTGACTTAGAATATGTGGACAACTACAAATACCTAGGTGTCTGGTTAGACTGTAAACTCTCCTTCCAGACTCACATTAAGCATCTCCAATCCAAAATTAAATCTAGAATCGGCTTCCTATTTCGCAACAATGCCTCCTTCACTCATGCTGCTAAACATGCCCTCGTAAAACTGACTATCCTACCGATCCTTGCCTTCAACAATGTCAATTACAAAATAGCTTCCAACACTCTACTCAGCAAATTGGATGTAGTATATCACAGTGCCATCCATTTTGTCACCAAAGCCCCATATACTACCGACCATTCTGACCTGTATGCTCTCGTTGGCTGGCCCTCACTTCATATTCGTCGCCAACCCACTGGCTCCAGGTCATCTATAAATCCCTTCTAGGCAAATCCCCGCCTTATCTTAGCTCATTGGTCACCATAGCAACACCCACCCGTAGTATGCGCTCCAGCAGGTATATCTCACTGGTCATCCACAAAGCCAACACCTCCTTTGGCCGCCATTCCTTCCAGTTCTCTGCTGCAAATGACTGAAACGAACTGCAAAAATCTCTGAAGCTGGAGACTCTTATCTCCCTCACTATCTTTAAGCATCAGTTGTCAGAGCAGCTTACCGATCACTGCACCTGTACACAGCCCATCTGTAATTAGCCCACCCAACTACCTCATCCCCATATTGTTATTTACATTGTTATTTATTTTTGCTCATTTGCACCCCAGTATCTCTATTTGCACATCATCTTCTGCACATCTATCACTCCAGTGTTAATACTAAATTATAATAGTAATTATTTTGCACTATGGCCTATTCATTGCCTTACCTCCATAACTTACTACATTTGCACACACTGTATATATATTTTCTATTGTGTTATTGACTGTACGTTTTGTTTATTCCATATGTAACTCTGTGTTGTTGTTTTTATCGCACTGCTTTGCTTTATCTTGGCCAGGTCGCAGTTGTAAAATGAGAACTTGTTCTCAACTGGCTTACCTGGTTAAATAAAGGTGAAATCTTTTTTTTATATATATCTATATATCTATATATCTCAAAGCAGCTCAGTGGAATTTCCTCAACATCTGTTTTCTGTCAACTGCTGTAAATATGACATCACAAATGTTATATGAATGAGCTCTGTTCTCTTTTCACCCCACACATTCAATTAACGTTGAACCCCCCTGTTACAAACACAATTCCTCAGCAGGGTGTGTGTGCACATCTGTTGGGGTTAACAAGAGTCAAGGAGGAGGAGAGGGGGTCTTACACTCTTCAGTATCAGTCTGATGGCTGGGGAGTCTGGAGCATAGAGGATCTTCCCCATGAGGAGAGGCTTGACTGAACTCCACACGATCTTAGTGACCGGGTTAGACTCCAGAGTCTGCATCAGGTCATTACAGAACGGAGCTGAGAGGAGGAGGAGAGGGGGGAGGGAGGGAGATAGAGAGAGAGAGAGAAGAGAGAGAGAGAGAGAGAGAGAGAGAGAGAGAGAGAAAGAGAGAGAGAGAGAGAAATGTCTAGTTAGCCTGTGACAATGGAAGCAATGGAATAGTTCCTAAAGTGCAAACTCTGAGCACATCTCAAATATTGTCAAGTATTTGACATGATGTATTCAACCCGGATCTGAGCCCTAGTCCTGACTCTACTTACTGGTTGTCATGTCGTAGACATAGTCGTGGTTCTTGGATCCATTCACCCCCAGGAACACCTTGTAGTTGTTGTCTTCATACCAGTTGAAGGAGAGCACCCTGGATCCCTCTCCCTCTGGGTACCCACAGAACAGGGCCGACACAGTGCTCATCAGCTGGCTAAAGGAGCTGGGAACGCCAGCCTGGAACAATGGGTAGACCACCTTCAGAAGGTCCTTGGTGCTGTTCCTCTCAAAGAGCTGGGGGTAGAGAGAGAGAGAGAGAGAGAGAGAGAGAGAGAGAGGGGGGGGGGGGGGGGGGGGGGGGAAGGGAAGAGATGGAGGAAAAAGAGAAGGTAAGGTCCTTGGTTCTGTTCATCTTAGTGCTGAGCGATTAACTGTCATTTCGGTTATTTTTCGTTTTTTAAACAACGAATTGACCATCGGTTCAATTATTTGAATTCCATTTCGTTCAGGTTTTCTTCTGTGAGCTCAATGCACAGTTTTTATAGAGAAAGATCAAGCCCTATCTGTGCGATGTAGTAGGGGTGTTGTAGTTTCCAACAGGCCAATATTCTACATAGTTTAGCGCAGAAAAAGTGGTCATTAACTACAATGACTATAATCCATTGTGCGCCTACACAGAGAGGGAGAGAAGAGACAGAAGACGTGTGATGGTTAGAGATCTGTTGCTTCGTGAGGTATCTCTACCTGAAAATACATGATCTAAGTGATAGATAGTTGATATTCAGCAGTCATAAATGTATGCCTTACTTACTTTGAAGAACTACTAAAACAGTGATTTTGTCAGACAGCAGCTCTATAGAAAAGAGATGACTTGGAATTCAATAATAAAGTAATCAAATAAAACAAATGTAACAACAACTGAAATATGTTATTAAAGTAAAGGAATGTGACTAGAATGCTATTTGGCCCTAAACAGAGAGTACACAGTGGCAGAATACCTGACCACTGTGACTGACCCAAACTTAAGGAAAGCTTTGACTATGTACAGACTCAGTGAGCATAGCCTTGCTATTGAGAAAGGCCGCCGTAGGCAGACCTGGCTCTCAAGAGAAGACAGGCTATGTGCACACTGCCCACAAAATGAGGTGGAAACAGAGCTGCACTTCCTAACTTCCTGCCAAATGTATGATCATATTAGAGACACATATTTCCCTCAGATTACACAGACCCACAAAGAATTAGAAAACAAATCCAATTTTGATAAACTCTCTTGTCTACTGGGTGAAATACCACAGTGTGCCATCACAGCTGCAGGATGTGTGACCTGTTGCCACAAGAAAAGGGCAACCAGTGAAGAACAAACGCCATTGTCAAATACAACCCATATTTATATTGATTTATTTTCCCATTTATACTTTAACTATTTGCACATTGTTACAAAACTGTATATAGACATAAATGACATTTGAAATGTCTTTATTCTTTTGAAACTTCTGAGTGTAATTTTTACTGTTAATATTTATTGTTTATTTCACTTTTGTTTACTATCTACTTCACTTGCTTTGGCAATGTAAAAATACGTTTCCCATGCCAATAAAGCCCTTAAATTGAATTGAAATTGAATTGATAGGGTTATACTGTAAATATGAGTGTTAAACTGTCCCTTCACACCATTTGTCCACTCTACACTGCAACAACACAAATGAGGTCAAGATAAAAGTGTTGCAAGGACACTCACACATAGATCCACATTTAAAGGGAAAAACACAATGCTCAGAACATTAAACAGCACAGTCTGAACTCACCTTTCCTATTGATAACAAGGATAGGTGTTGGGTGGGCCATTTCTCCTACTGATAACAATGATAGGTGTTGGGTGGGCCATTTCTCCTACTGATAACAAGGATAGGTGTTTGGTGGGCCATTTCTCCTACTGATAACAATGATAGGTGTTGGGTGGGCCATTTCTCCTACTGATAACAAGGATAGGTGTTGGGTGGGCCATTTCTCCTATTGATAACAATGATAGGTGTTGGGTGGGCCATTTCTCCTACTGATAACAAGGATAGGTGTTGGGTGGGCCATTTCTCCTACTGATAACAAGGATAGGTGTTGGGTGGGCCATTTCTCCTACTGATAACAATGATAGGTGTTTGGTGGGCCATTTCTCCTACTGATAACAAGGATAGGTGTTGGGTGGGCCATTTCTCCTACTGATAACAAGGATAGGTGTTGGGTGGGCCATTTCTCCTATTGATAACAATGATAGGTGTTGGGTGGGCCATTTCTCCTACTGATAACAAGGATAGGTGTTAGGTGGGCCATTTCTCCTATTGATAACAATGATAGGTGTTGGGTGGGCCATTTCTCCTACTGATAACAAGGATAGGTGTTTGGTGGGCCATTTCTCCTACTGATAACAAGGATAGGTGTTTGGGTGGGCCATTTCTCCTACTGATAACAATGATAGGTGTTGGGTGGGCCATTTCTCCTACTGATAACAATGATAGGTGTTGGGTGGGCCATTTCTCCTATTGATAACAATGATAGGTGTTGGGTGGGCCATTTCTCCTACTGATAACAATGATAGGTGTTGGGTGGGCCATTTCTCCTACTGATAACAAGGATAGGTGTTGGGTGGGCCATTTCTCCTACTGATAACAATGATAGGTGTTGGGTGGGCCATTTCTCCTACTGATAACAAGGATAGGTGTTGGGTGGGCCATTTCTCCTACTGATAACAAGGATAGGTGTTGGGTGGGCCATTTCTCCTACTGATAACAAGGATAGGTGTTGGGTGGGCCATTTCTCCTACTGATAACAAGGATAGGTGTTGGGTGGGCCATTTCTCCTACTGATAACAATGATAGGTGTTGGGTGGGCCATTTCTCCTACTGATAACAAGGATAGGTGTTGGGTGGGCCATTTCTCCTACTGATAACAAGGATAGGTGTTGGGTGGGCCATTTCTCCTACTGATAACAAGGATAGGTGTTGGGTGGGCCATTTCTCCTACTGATAACAATGATAGGTGTTGGGTGGGCCATTTCTCCTACTGATAACAAGGATAGGTGTTGGGTGGGCCATTTCTCCTATTGATAACAATGATAGGTGTTGGGTGGGCCATTTCTCCTACTGATAACAATGATAGGTGTTGGGTGGGCCATTTCTCCTACTGATAACAAGGATAGGTGTTTGGTGGGCCATTTCTCCTACTGATAACAAGGATAGGTGTTGGGTGGGCCATTTATCCTACTGATAACAATGATAGGTGTTGGGTGGGCCATTTCTCCTACTGATAACAAGGATAGGTGTTGGGTGGGCCATTTCTCCTACTGATAACAAGGATAGGTGTTGGGTGGGCCATTTCTCCTACTGATAACAATGATAGGTGTTGGGTGGGCCATTTCTCCTACTGATCTACATCTACATCTACGTCATTTAGCAGACGCTCTTATCCAGAGCGACTTACAGGAGCAATTAGGGTTAAGTGCCTTGCTTAAGGGCACATCGACAGATTTTTCACCTAGTCGGCTCGGGGATTAGAACCAGCAACCTTTCGGTTACTGGCACAACGCTCTTAACCACTAAGCTACCTGCCGATAACCACTAAGCTACCACTAAGCTACCACTAAGCTACCTACTGATAACAATGATAGGTGTTGGGTGGGCCATTTCTCCTATTGATAACAAGGATAGGTGTTGGGTGGGCCATTTCTCCTACTGATAACAATGATAGGTGTTGGGTGGGCCATTTCTCCTATTGATAACAATGATAGGTGTTGGGTGGGCCATTTCTCCTACTGATAACAATGATAGGTGTTGGGTGGGCCATTTCTCCTACTGATAACAAGGATAGGTGTTTGGTGGGCCATTTCTCCTACTGATAGCAATGATAGGTGTTGGGTGGGCCATTTCTCCTACTGATAACAAGGATAGGTGTTTGGTGGGCCATTTCTCCTACTGATAACAAGGATAGGTGTTTGGTGGGCCATTTCTCCTACTGATAACAAGGATAGGTGTTGGGTGGGCCATTTCTCCTACTGATAACAAGGATAGGTGTTGGGTGGGCCATTTCTCCTACTGATAACAAGGATAGGTGTTGGGTGGGCCATTTCTCCTACTGATAACAAGGATAGGTGTTGGGTGGGCCATTTCTCCTACTGATAACAAGGATAGGTGTTGGGTGGGCCATTTATCCTACTGATAACAAGGATAGGTGTTGGGTGGGCCATTTCTCCTACTGATAACAATGATAGGTGTTGGGTGGGCCATTTCTCCTACTGATAACAAGGATAGGTGTTGGGTGGGCCATTTCTCCTACTGATAACAAGGATAGGTGTTGGGTGGGCCATTTCTCCTACTGATAACAAGGATAGGTGTTGGGTGGGCCATTTCTCCTATTGATAACAAAGATAGGTGTTGGGTGGGCCATTTCTCCTACTGATAACAATGATAGGTGTTGGGTGGGCCATTTCTCCTATTGATAACAAGGATAGGTGTTGGGTGGGCCATTTCTCCTATTGATAACAAGGATAGGTGTTTGGTGGGCCATTTCTCCTACTGATAACAATGATAGGTGTTGGGTGGGCCATTTCTCCTATTGATAACAAGGATAGGTGTTGGGTGGGCCATTTCTCCTATTGATAACAAGGATAGGTGTTTGGTGGGCCATTTCTCCTACTGATAACAATGATAGGTGTTGGGTGGGCCATTTCTCCTACTGATAACAAGGATAGGTGTTAGGTGGGCCATTTCTCCTACTGATAACAAGGATAGGTGTTGGGTGGGCCATTTCTCCTATTGATAACAATGATAGGTGTTGGGTGGGCCATTTCTCCTACTGATAACAATGATAGGTGTTGGGTGGGCCATTTCTCCTACTGATAACAATGATAGGTGTTGGGTGGGCCTCATCACGGCTCCTAGTGGGAGAAACTAACAGCTTCCTGTTACTGGGAGAAACTAACAGCTTCCTGTTACTGGGAGAAACTAACAGCTTCCTGTTACTGGGAGAAACTAACAGCTTCCTGTTACTGGGAGAAACTAACAGCTTCCTGTTACTGGGAGAAACTAACAGCTTCCTGTTAATGGGAGAAACTAACAGCTTCCTGTTACTGGGAGAAACTAACAGCTTCCTCATCAAAGCTTCCTGTTACTGGGAGAAACTAACAGCTCCCTGTTACTGGGAGAAACTAACAGCTTCCTGTTACTGGGAGAAACTAACAGCTTCCAGTTAATGGGAGAAACTAACAGCTTCCTGTTACTGGGAGAAACTAACAGCTTCCTCATCAAAGCTCCCTGTTACTAGGAGAAACTAACAGCTTCCTGTTACTGGGAGAAACTAACAGCTTCCTGTTACTGGGAGAAACTAACAGCTTCCTGTTACTGGGAGAAACTAACAGCTTCCTGTTACTGGGAGAAACTAACAGCTTCCTGTTACTGGAAGAAACTAACAGCTTCCTGTTACTGGGAGAAACTAACAGCTTCCTGTTACTGGGAGAAACTAACAGCTTCCTGTTACTGGGAGAAACTAACAGCTTCCTGTTACTGGGAGAAACTAACAGCTTCCTCATCACAGCTTCATGTTACTGGGAGAAACTAACAGCTTCCTGTTACTGGAAGAAACTAACAGCTTCCTGTTACTGGGAGAAACTAACAGCTTCCTCATCACAGCTTCATGTTACTGGGAGAAACTAACAGCTTCCTGTTACTGGAAGAAACTAACAGCTTCCTGTTACTGGGAGAAACTAACAGCTTCCTCATCAAAGCTTCCTGTTACTGGGAGAAACTAACAGCTTCCTGTTACTGGGAGAAACTAACAGCTTCCTCATCAAAGCTTCCTGTTACTGGGAGAAACTAACAGCTTCCTGTTACTTGGAGAAACTAACAGCTTCCTCATCAAAGCTTCCTGTTACTAGAAGAAACTAACAGCTTCCTGTTACTGGGAGAAACTAACAGCTTCCTCATCAAAGCTTCCTGTTACTGGGAGAAACTAACAGCTTCCTGTTACTGGGAGAAACTAACAGCTTCCTCATCACAGCTTCCTGTTACTAGAAGAAACTAACAGCTTCCTCATCACATTTTCCTGTTACTAGGAGACACTAACAGCTTCCTCATCACAGATCCTAGTGGGAGAAACTAACAGCCTCCTCATCACAGCTTCCTGTTACTAGGAGACACTAACAGCTTCCTCATCACAGATCCTAGTGGGAGAAACTAACAGCTTCCTCATCACAGCTTCCTGTTGCTAGGAGACACTAACAGCTTCCTCATCACAGATCCTAGTGGGAGAAACTAACAGCTTCTTGTTACTGGGAGAAATCAGAGAGGGTATTCAGAAAATGTTGAGAGGGAGGGGGAGAGATAAAGAGAGGACAGAGAGAGATGATAGATGACCACTCACCACTTGGACCTTCTCTGATACAGCGGTAAGGACACGCCCCCAGTAGCGTAGGTCTGGTCCGTCCGTGTGGTTGTCCAACACCCGGGGCAGCTGGGAAAAGACAGATTGGACAGGTTGGACATACAGTTGGTGTCACGACTCCCTCCGAAGCTGCCACCTCTACTTGTTCGGTCAGGCTTCGGCGTTCGTCGTCACCGGCCTTCTAGCCACTGCCGCTCCTCATCTAATCATTCCACATTTCAGGGACTACAGATGAAGACTAGCCGGCTGGAACATTTACAGAAATATTGATGAGATGTGCATTGTCCCTGTCAAATACATGAAACAGAAAGTTTGAATACTTTGAGATGTTTAAAAGCACTTAGAATACATTTTTATTTGATTCGTTTTGGGATATGGCGAGGTTAGCAAATATTTACAATTTTGCAAAGATAGCTAACTAGGCCTAAATCATGCAAAGGTAACTAACTGGGCCTAAAACTAGGACTTTTCAGGGAAGTCAGGAACCAATATACACAATCAGTTATGAAAGCAAAGGCTAGCTTTTTCAAACAGAAATGTGCATCTTGTAGCACTAACTCCAAAAAGTTTTGGGACACTGTAAAGTCCATGGAGAATAAGAGCACCTCCTCCCAACTGCCCACTGCACTGAGGCTAGGAAACACTGTCACCACCGATAAATCTACAATAATCGAGAATTTCAACAAGCATTTTGCTACGGCTGGCCATGCTTTCCACCTGGCTACAACTACCCCGGCCACCAGCTCTGCACCCTCCACTGCAACTTGCCCATGCCCCCCCCCCCCGCTTCTCCTTTACACAAATTCAAACAGCTGATGTTCTGAAAGAGCTGAAAAATCTGGACCCCTACAAATCAGCTGGGCTAGACAATCTGGAACCTTTCTTTCTAAAATTAGCAGCCGAAATTGTCGCAACCCCTATTACCAGCCTGTTCAACCTCTCTTTCGTAACATCTGAGATCCCCAGAGATTGGAAAGCTGCCGTGGTCATCCCCCTCTTCAAAGGGGGTGACACTCTAGATATAAACTGTTACAGACCTATATCCATCCTGCCCTGCCTTTCGAACGTTTTTGAATGCCAAGTTAACAAACAGATCACCGACCATTTCGAATTACACCGTACCTTCTCCGCTATGCAATCCGGTTTCCGAGCTGGTCATGGGTGCACCTCAGCCACGCTCAAGGTCCTAAACGATATTATAACCGCGATCGATAAAAGACAGTACTGCGCAGCCGTCTTCATCGACCTGGCCAAGGCTTTCAACTCTGTCAACCACCACATTTTTATTGGCAGACTAAATAGCCTTGGTTTCTCAAATGACTGCCTCGCCTGGTTCACCAACTACTTCTCAGAAAGAGTTCAATGTGTCAAATCGGAGGGCCTGTTGTCTGGACCTCTGGCAGTCTCTATGGGGGTGCCACAGGGTTCAATTCTCGGGCCGACTCTATTCTCTGTGTATATCAATGATGTCGCTCTTGCTGCTGGTGACTCTCAGATCCACCTCTATGCAGACGACACCATTTTGTATACATCTGGCCCTTCATTGGACACTGTGTTAACAAACCTCCGTTTTGTCACCAAAGCCCCATAAACTACCCACCATTGTGACCTGTACGCTCTTGTTGGCTGGCCCTCACTACATATTTGTCACCAACCCACTGGCTCCAGGTCATCTATAAATCACTGCTAGGCAAATCCCCGTCTTATCTTAGCTCACTGGTCACCATAGCAACACCCACCCGTAGTATGCGCTCCAGCAGGCATATCTCACTGGTCATCCCCAAAGCCAACACCTCCTTTGGCCGCCATTCCTTCCAGTTCTCTGCTGCCAATGACTGGAATGAACTGCAAAAATCTCTGAAGCTGGAGACTCTTATCTCCCTCACTAACTTTAAGCATCAGTTGTCAGAGCAGCTTACCAATCACTGCACCTGTACACAGCCCATCTGAAATTAGCCCATCCAACTACCTCATCCCCATATTGTTATTTATTTTGCTAATTTGCACCCCAGTATCTCTATTTGCACATCATCTCTTGCACATCTATCATTCCAGTATTATACGGAATTGTAACTATTTTGAACTATGGCCTATTTATTGCCTTACCTCCATAACTTACTACATTCGCACACTGTATATGTATTTTCTGTTGTATTTTTGACTTTATGTTTTGTTTTACCCCATATGTAACTCTGTGTTGTTGTTTTTATCGCACTGCTTTGCTTTATCTTGGCCAGGTCGCAGTTGTAAATGAGAACTTGTTCTCAACTGGCTTACCTGGTTAAATAAAGGTGAAATAAAATAAAAATAAAATGCAAAGGTAACTAACCAGGCCTAAATCAACTAGCAGGGTGCTTTACTCTCAACTCTTTCACCTTTACGACTTTTTATTTTAAAAAAATTATTTCACCTTTATTTAACCAGGTAAGCCAGTTGAGAACAAGTTCTCATTTACAACTGCGACCTGGCCAAGATAAAGCAAAGCAGTGCGATAAAAACAACAACACAGAGTTACATATGGGGTAAAACAAAACACAAAGTCAAAAATACAACAGAAAATATATATACAATGTGTGCAAATGTAGCAAGTTATGGAGGTAAGGCAATAAATAGGCTATAGTGCAAAATAATTACAATTAGTATTAACACTAGAATGATAGATGTGCAAGAGATGATGTACGACTTTAAAGGAAAACCCCTTAACACTGGGTCTTCAAGGCCCCTGACATGGCACAGAGTCACTACGGAAACAGAGAACGCCAACACAAACATCTTACATGCTTCCTATGACATTCCTTACACTTCCATTTCAATGAACAAAGGAGGGAGGGAGGGAGGGAGGGAGGGAGGGGGGGAGGGAGGGAGGGAGGGAGGGAGGGAGGGACAAGGGGAATAGGAGAGGTTAAGGGTTAAGGGTTGAGAGGACAAACTAGTAACAGAGAGGAAGAGGTGAAGCAAGAGGGTTTACTCCGCCCAAAATATGTCCATGTTAAGCGGATCATTTATGAGGAGTTTTTGTATTGGGGGCAATGAGAAAGTGTCGAATTTAGTCAAGATAAACATGAATTGTTTAAGTTGTTACGAGGGTACTAATATAAGTGTGATGCACGTGACATCCCGGCAACTTCAAGAAGAAACACTTTATATCAGAGTCCATGCATATTAATAATAATAATATGCCATTTAGCAGACGCTTTTATCCAAAGCGACTTACAGTCGTGCGTGCATACATTTTTGTGTATGGGTGGTCCCGGGGATCGAACCCACTACCTTGGCGTTACAAGCGCCGTACTCTACCAGCTGAGCTACAGAGGACCACCATATTCATGAATACAGCCAGTTGATGTCAACACCCCTCATCGAATAGTAAAAAAAAAAGCATTCAAATAACGAGATGTATCCACCAATCCAAAGAGAGGACTAGGCGGGAGTTTGACAGCCCGCCATTCCGCTCTGTGGACAACAAATCCCATTGTTAGGGCGGAGACACAAGCATTATCATTTTACCCAGTATCTCTCTTAGTAGTGATCTATTCCTAGTCTGTATACACTATGCTGGTTAAGGTAATGGGCTTTACACCAGAGTCCCACAGGTCAAATTCAAGACTCTTCTGTTAAGGTAATGGGCTTTACTCCAGAGTCCCACAGGTCAAACTCAAGACTCTTCTGTTAAGGTAATGGGCTTTACTCCAGAGTCCCACAGGTCAAACTCAAGACTCTTCTGTTAAGGTAATGGGCTTTACACCAGAGTCCCACAGGTCAAACTCAAGACACTTCTGTTAAGGTAATGGGCTTTACACCAGAGACCCACAGGTCAAACTCAAGACTCTTCTGTTAAGGTAATGGGCTTTACACCAGAGTCCCACAGGTCAAACTCAAGACTCTTCTGTTAAGGTAATGGGCTTTACACCAGAGTCCCACAGGTCAAACTCAAGACTCTTCTGTTAAGGTAATGGGCTTTACACCAGAGTCCCACAGGTCAAACTCAAGACTCTTCTGTTAAGGTAATGGGCTTTACACCAGAGTCCCACAGGTCAAACTCAAGACTCTTCTGTTAAGGTAATGGGCTTTACACCAGAGTCCCACAGGTCAAACTCAAGACTCTTCTGTTAAGGTAATGGGCTTTACACCAGAGTCCCACAGGTCAAACTCAAGACTCTTCTGTTAAGGTAATGGGCTTTACACCAGAGTCCCACAGGTCAAACTCAAGACTCTTCTGTTAAGGTAATGGGCTTTACACCAGAGTCCCACAGGTCAAACTCAAGACTCTTCTGTTAAGGTAATGGGCTTTACACCAGAGTCCCACAGGTCAAACTCAAGACTCTTCTGTTAAGGTAACGGGCTTTACACCAGAGTCCCACAGGTCAAACTCAAGACTCTTCTGTTAAGGTAACGGGCTTTACACCAGAGTCCCACAGGTCAAACTCAAGACTCTTCTGTTAAGGTAACGGGCTTTACACCAGAGTCCCACAGGTCAAACTCAAGACTCTTCTGTTAAGGTAACGGGCTTTACACCAGAGTCCCACAGGTCAAACTCAAGACTCTTCTTTTAAGGTAACGGGCTTTACACCAGAGTCCCACAGGTCAAACTCAAGACTCTTCTGTTAAGGTAACGGGCTTTACACCAGAGTCCCACAGGTCAAACTCAAGACTCTTCTGTTAAGGTAACGGGCTTTACACCAGAGTCCCACAGGTCAAACTCAAGACTCTTCTGTTAAGGTAACGGGCTTTACACCAGAGTCCCACAGGTCAAACTCAAGACCTCTTCTGTTAGGTAACGGGCTTTACACCAGAGTCAAACAGGTCAAACTCAAGACTCTTCTGTTAAGGTAACGGGCTTTACACCAGAGTCCCACAGGTCAAACTCAAGACTCTTCTGTTAAGGTAACGGGCTTTACACCAGAGTCCCACAGGTCAAACTCAAGACTCTTCTGTTAAGGTAACGGGCTTTACACCAGAGTCCCACAGGTCAAACTCAAGACTCTTCTGTTAAGGTAACGGGCTTTACACCAGAGTCCCACACGTCAAACTCAAGACTCTTCTGTTAAGGTAACGGGCTTTACACCAGAGTCCCACAGGTCAAACTCAAGACTCTTCTGTTAAGGTAACGGGCTTTACACCAGAGTCCCACAGGTCAAACTCAAGACTCTTCTGTTAAGGTAACGGGCTTTACACCAGAGTCCCACAGGTCAAAACTCAAGACTCTTCTGTTAAGGTAACGGGCTTTACTCCAGAGTCCCACAGGTCAAACTCAAGACTCTTCTGTTAAGGTAACGGGCTTTACACCAGAGTCCCACAGGTCAAACTCAAGACTCTTCTGTTAAGGTAACGAGCTTTACACCAGAGTCCCACAGGTCAAACTCAAGACTCTTCTGTTAAGGTAACGGGCTTTACACCAGAGTCCACAGGTCAAACTCAAGACTCTTCTGTTAAGGTAATGGGCTTTAACACCAGAGTCCCACAGGTCAAACTCAAGATCTTCTGTTAAGGTAACTGGCTTTTACACCAGAGTCCCACAGGTCAAACTCAAGACTCTTCTGTTAAGGTAAGGGCTTACACCAGAGTCCCACGGGTCAAACTCAAGACTCTTTCTGTTAAGGTAATGGGCTTTACACCAGAGTCCCACAGGTCAAACTCAAGACTCTTCTGTTAAGTAATGGGCTTTACACCAGAGTCACACAGGTCAAACTCAAGACTCTTCTGTTAAGGTAACTGGGCTTTACACCCAGAGTTCCCACAGGTCAAACTCCAAGATCTCTTTTCTGTTAAGGAATGGGCTTTACACCCAGAAGGTCCCAACGGTCAAACTCAAGACTCTTCTGTTAAGGGGATAAATGGGCTTTTTACACCCAGAGTTCCCACAGGTCAAACTCAAGACTCTTTCTGTTAATGGTACATGGGCTTCTACACCCAGAGTCCCCACAGGTCAAACTCAAGACTCTTCTGTTAAGGTAATGGCTTTACACCAGAGTCCCACAGGTCCAAACTCAAGACTCTTCTGTTAAGGTAATGGGCTTTACACCCGTAGTCCCCAGGTTCAAACTCAAGACTCTTTGTTAAGGTAATGGGCTTACACCAGAGTCCCACAGGTCAAACTCAAGACTCTTCTGTTAAGGTAATGGGCTTCACACCAGAGTCCCACAGGTCAAACTCAAGACTCTTCTGTTAAGGTAATGGGCTTCACACCAGAGTCCCACAGGTCAAACTCAAGACTCTTCTGTTAAGGTAATGGGCTTTACACCCAGAGTCCCACAGGTCAAACTCAAGACTCTTCTGTTAAGGTAATGGGCTTTACACCAGAGTCCCACAGGTCAAACTCAAGACTCAACATCCAACTCTGAATATAGAAAACATTCCACATATATATATTTGTGTGAATAAGACAAAACTAGCAGAGCAGCAACAGACCAGTTTTGGCCCTAGCTCGATTTTTCTCTAGGTGACAGGATATGAGAGATCAGATAGGTACAGTGTTCTCCAGGCTCTATTTTCTCTCGGTGACAAAGGGCCTATGTGTATTTATACAGGTAACCCGCCCTAACCAACCTGCCCTCACACACCAACAGACCGTATTACCTCGGCTGTTCTATAGGTGTTATCTGGCTATATGTAACACATTTGGCCCATGTGTATTTATACACACAGCCTCACTAACAGAGCTGTGCAGTATTGTCCTGGATCTATCTTCTAGCTAGGTTACAGGATATAGGAGACCAGATAGGTACAGTCTTGTCCTGGATCTATCTTCTAGCTAGGTTACAGGATATAGGAGACCAGATAGATACAGTATTGTCCTGGATCTATCTCCTCTCCCTATAGGGGACACATGGTCCTGTCTCTAGTAGTATGGCTTCATCACCTCTTAGTGTGTCTCTCTGAGTGAGCTGAGGGAGGGGGGGCGTGGCCTAACTCATTAACTAATCCTATTATGGAAATAGGCCAAGAGGCTATCGCTCTGTCGCCATGCCAACCTGGCTGAGCCAGTCACCTGCCTTCTGGAGACTATATCCTGGACTGAACCCTGATGGGGGGGGGGGGAGACAGAAGGGGAGAGATGGGAGGAGACAGAAGGGGGGAGATGGGGGGAGACAGAAGGGAGGACAGTAAGAGAAGTATGAGAGAGAGATGGGGGAGAGAGAAAGGGGGAGAGAAAGGGTGAGGAGGAGAGAGAGATGGGGGAGAGAGATGGGGGAGAGAAAGGGGGAGAGAAAGGGGGAGGAGGAGAGAGAGGAGGAGGACAAGAGGCCTTAGAGCAGGGGTATTCAAAGTTGGGGTCTTGACCCCTAAAGGGGGCGCGAGAGAACTGCAGTGGGGTCACCAAAAATAAAACATTTATTTGGTTTTGTTTTGGTGTTGTGACATTAAATAAAGAGTACAGATTATTTTCTGGGACAATATACAAACGTTTTATTGAGTAAATGTTTTAATTGGTTTCATTTCATTTTGCTAAAAAAGGAAAGGGGATATCTAGAGAGGAAAATGTCATGAAGGTTATTTGTTGATGTTAAAATAGATATTTACCCATTAGATTTGCTGTGGGGTGGTTTCGCAATAAATTCTTGGGGGAAAAAATCGGGTCCCCGCTGAAAAAATTTGAATACCACTGCCTTAGAGGGAGGAGGAGGAGGAGGAGGAGGAGGAGGAGGAAGGATTAGAGGGAAGTAAAAAGAGACAGGTCAAGTGATAGGATACCAAAAACACAACAGTTAGGTTCTGTGTCACAAGGACCCTCTCTCACTGTAGTATCCACCTGGCGCCACTAGTTGGGATGTATCTTTCTCTCTGGTCTCCATCTAATTAGCCTGTCAACAGCTGTATTGGCAGATGCCAGGATGAGCCCGTCAACAGCTGTATTGGCAGATGCCAGGATGAGCCTGTCAACAGCTGTATTGGCAGATGCCAGGATGAGCCTGTCAACAGCTGTATTGGCAGATGCCAGGATGAGCCTGTCAACAGCTGTATTGGCAGATGCCAGGATGAGCCTGTCAACAGCTGTATTGGCAGATGCCAGGCCTGACCGTCGAAAACATTATCCCAATAAGTCCCACCGCCGCAATTTGGACTTCTGGTTTGCACCATTGGATTAGTCTATTTCTTCTGCATCCGTAGATAACATTAGTCTGATGAATGGGGGGAGGAGCTAGAGAGATGTTTGTGAGACAAGGGCGGATCCCGAAAGGGGCCCGGGACCGGGTCTTTTTACAAAAACGTCTGTAGAGTCCGAATGGTTTGAGCTACAAACTGTTAAAAGCTATCTATGAACAGCTGAGACTCACAAACACGTACATGTTCTAAAGCTATCTATGAACAGCTGAGACTCACAAACACGTACATGATTTGCTCTATGATGCTCACAAGCTACTCAAGAGTCGTTAGAAGGTAAGGGGTCCTTCTACATAGAAGATTATAGACTCTAAACCCCACAAAGTTGTCACTGACTAGTTGGATATTCATTTCCCACTGAGTAAACAATTTCTGTACTTACAGCTTTCATATACATTTATTTGTATCCACATTTTGCTTTGGCTGACCTTATTTTTTGTTTTGACATTTGTCAATAAAACTCATGAATGCAACTGTTTATGTCAAATTGTTTTGTGTTCTACTTGTAAAAACTATTTGTTTAGTGCCCTGGTTGTCCAGAAAATAAAATGGTAAAACACTTCATTGTGAGGCTAAATATAAGGGCTGGACATGCAGATAAATTAAGCAAACATTAGAGAGTGGACATTAATATTTTAGAAAGAGAGAGAGGGGGAGAAAAGAGATGGAGAAGGGCAGGACAATAAAGAAGAGAGAGAGAGAGAGAGAGAGAGAGAGAGAGAGAGAGAGAGAGAGAGAGAGAGAGAGAGAGAGAGAGAGAGAGAGAGAGAGAGAGAGAGAGAGAGAGAGAGAGAGAGAGAGAGAGAGAGAGAGAGAGAGAGAGAGAGAGAGAGTAAGACAGATTGATAGATAGAGACTAGGAAAGACATCCATCGTCCCGTACCAGTCTGAAGATCTTGAAGAAGTCAACGTTAGCATAGAGCATGTCCTCTATCTTCTGCAGGCGCTGCTGGGACAGGGCACACATGGCGTTGCGCACCCCGTACATGCCTCTCCGGCTGGGGAAGATGATGAACCTCTCCAGAAGAGCCTGGCTGCAAGCGATGTCCTTCAGCTGGAGGTCTGGAACCCCGTGGGCAAACTTCACGGGGGAGAGGAGACCACGGTCAGTTTATATTTTATTTTATATTTTAATTTTATTTGTCCCAGTACGGATTAGATAAATTAACAACAACAAACATTACAATATGAATACAGCATTGGGCTCCCGAGTGGCGCAGCGGTCTAAGACTGCATCTCAGTGCTTGAGGCGTCACTACAGACCCCCTGGTTCGATTCCAGGCTGTATCACAACCGGCCGTGATTGGGAGTCCCATAGGGCGGCGCACAATTGGCCCAGCGTCGTCCGGGTTTGGCCGGTGTAGGCCGTCATTGTAAATAAGAATTTGTTCTTAACTGACTTGCCTAGTTAAATAAAGGTAAAAAAAATATTCACACTTTTATCTAGCGTTTAAATAAAAACGTTTTACAGTAACCAAGCCTGATACCCAAAGAGCGAGCAAGACTCAATAATGTGATACATAATACAATCTACCATTCAACAGACACTTTCATCCTTAGGCACTTACAGTCATGTGTGAATACATTTTACATATGGGTGGTCCCAGGAATCGAACCCGCTATTCTGGCGTTGCAAGCGCCAAAGCGCCATACTGTACCAACTGAACTACAGAGGACCACCAGTCAGTGGCAAGGACGGTTTTAGGCCTAAATCATTCCAAAACACATCCCAGCAATGTCAAACTGAAATGTCGCTGGATGATACTGTCACCACCGGGCAGTCATTCTCTGACCACAGTGAAAATCTGTATCTGTATCAAGTCACAGACAGAAACGTGTCCCAAGAAAAAGCATCAGAAAAGTTATTTCTAATACAACATTCCCATGTTTCTTTCTAGCCAGTCCAAGGGAATAAAACAACAGTGAAACGGAGCACTATTCAATCTCCCTAGGTATTAGTTCTACCTGTTTTACCGACATACCTGTTCTGGACGGACTTGAGCGTTAATCAGCTGATGAACCACAGACTCTGACAAGCCAGAGTCTCTCAGCAGGAAGGCTGTCAACATCTCATCATCCTTCAGGATGTCCTCTATCTTCAGACCCCGACCTGGAACAGGAATAAAACATGGCTTGGATACTGAGGGAGAGATAAGTGAGAGAAACACTAACGGAGAGAGAACAAAGAGGAGGTCTATACTGCAGGTGAGGAAGAGGGGGATCAGGGGTGTATTCACTAGGAACCAAACAGAACCAAACAGAAGCAAACAGAACCAAACAGAAGCAAACAGAACCAAAGAGCCGAAACAGGGAGGGACTAACCTGGACTTGCCCAATATGAAACTAACTGTTTGTTGTAATGTTTTTCTACGGTTTGCTTCAGTATGCACTGATAAACACATCCCTGGACTCATTGTGGGCAGGGTTGTAGTCAGTACCTGCTATCTGTTCTGGTGTGTTACAGATGGTGTCCATGAAGTTGTTCATGACGGCCATGTCCTCCCACAGCCGACCCAACTGCTGGAACTCTGGGTCGTCGAACAACAGCTCATTGGAGTCAGCCCAGAACCGCGCCAGTCTAGAACACAGAACATAGAACCAATCAAGACAATTGAGTATAGGACCGTGGAGAACCCAGCAGAACATCTGAATTTACAGCATAGAACCATGGAGAACCCAGCAGAACATCTGAGTCTAAAGCACAGAACCATGGAGAACCCAGCAGAACATCTGAGTCTAAAGCACAGAACCATGTAGAACCCAGCAGAACATCTGAGTCTAAAGCACAGAACCATGTTCTTCTAGGTGGTAATAGAGAAAATGATGAGAGGTTGAAGGAGAGAGGGATGAGACTGAGAGACGGTGAGGGAGAGAGGGATGAGACTGAGAGACGATGAGGTAGAGAGGGATGAGACTGAGAGACGGTGAGGGAGAGAGGGATGAGACTGAGAGACAGTGAGGGAGAGAGGGATGAGACTGAGAGACGGTGAGGGAGAGAGGGATGAGACTGAGAGACGGTGAGGGAGAAAGGGATGAGACTGAGAGACGGTGAGGGAGAGAGGGATGAGACTGAGAGACGATGAGGTAGAGAGGGATAAGACTGAGAGACGATGAGGTAGAGAGGGAAGAGAATGAGAGACGGTGAGGGAGAGAGGGAAGAGACTGAGAGACAGTGAGGGAGAGAGGGATGAGACTGAGAGACGGTGAGGGAGAGAGGGAAGAAATAAATCCTGGAGAGAGGGATGAGACTGAGAGACGGTGAGGGAGAGAGGGATGAGACTGAGAGACGGTGAGGGAGAGAGGGATGAGACTGAGAGACGGTGAAGGAGAGAGGGATGAGACTGAGAGACGGTGAAGGAGAGAGGGATGAGACGGAGAGACGGTGAGGGACAGAGGGATGCGTGAGATTAAGGAGAGAGGCTTTGGGGCTCAGTTGGTAGGGGATGGTGCGCCAAGGATTGTGGGTTTGATTCCCGGGACCACCCATAAGAAAACTTTATGCACGCCTGACTGTAAGTCGCTTTGGATAAAAGCATCTGCTAAGTATTTGATCCCCTGCTGATTTTGTACGTTTGCCCACTGATAAAGAAATGATCGGTCTATAATTTTAATGGTAGGCTTATTTGAACAGTGCGAGACAGAATAACAAAACAAAAATCGAGAAAACGCATTTCAAAAATGTTATAAATTGATTTGCATTTTAATGAGGGAAATAAGTATTTTACCCCCTCTCAATCAGAAGGATTTCTGGCTCCCAGGTGTCTTTTATTCAGGTAACGAGCTGAGATTAGGAGCACACTCTTAAAGGGAGTGCTCCTAATCGCAGCTTGTTACCTGAATAAAAGACACCTGTCCACAGTAGCAATCAATCAATCAGATTCCAAACTCTCCACCATGGCCAAGACCAAAGAGCTCTCCAAGGATGTCAGGGACAAGATTGTAGACAAGATTGTTCTCAAGGCAGCTGGGACCATAGTCACCAAGAAAACAATTGGTAACACACTACGCCGTGAAGGACTGAAATCCTGCAGCGCCCGCAAGGTCCCCCTGCTCAAGAAAGCACATATACAGGCCCGTCTGAAGTTTGCCAATGAACATCTGAATGATTCAGAGGAGAACTGGGTGAAAGTGTTGTGGTCAGATGAGACCAAAATCGAGCTCTTTGGCATCAACTCAACTCGCCGTGTTTGGAGGAGGAGGAATGCTGCCTATGACCCCAAGAACACCATCCCCACCGCCAAACATGGAGGTGGAAACGTTATGCTTTGGGGGTGTTTTTCTGCTAAGGGGACAGGACAACTTCACCACATCAAAGGGACGATGGATGGGGCCATGTACCATCAAATCTTGGGTGAGAACCTCCTTCCCTCAGCCAGGGCATTGAAAATGGGTCGTGGATGGGTATTCCAGCATGACAATGACCCAAAACACACGGCCAAGGCAACAAAGGAGTGGCTCAAGAAGAAGCACATTAAGGTCCTGGAGTGGCCTAGCCAGTCTCCAGACCTTAATCCCATAGAAAATCTGTGGAGGGAGCTGAAGGTTCGAGTTGCCAAACGTCAGCCTCGAAACCTTAATGACTTGGAGAAGATCTGCAAAGAGGAGTGGAACAAAATCCCTCCTGAGATGTGTGCAAACCTGGTGGCCAACTACAAGAAACGTCTGACCTCTGTGATGGCCAACAAGGGTTTTGCCACCAAGTACTAAGTCATGTTTTGCAGAGGGGTCAAATACTTATTTCCCTCATTAAAATGCAAATCAATTTATAACATTTTTGACATGCGCTTTTCTGGATTTTCTTGTTGTTATTCTGTCTCTCACTGTTCAAATAAACCTACCATTAAAATTATAGACTGATCATGTCTTTGTCAGTGGGCAAACGTACAAAATCAGCAGGGGATCAAATACTTTTTTCCCTCACTGTATTATACAAAGGGCTGAGAGATGCTGATGAGGGGCGATTAAGGAGAGAGGGGAATAGAGGTCTTTTATCAATTAGATATGCCTACCTCCTGCATCCTCTCTCACCTCCTTTTGAAAAAGGTCATAGTTAATCGAGGAGAGTCGGAGAGGAGAGCGAACGTGGATGGAAATGCGCTTGCTTGAAATGAGCCGGTCCTTCTCCATTCGCACGTCATTAGGCCAATGAGGTTTACAGGGGTGGATCCCAAAATAAATGAGGTTTACAGGGGTGGATCCCAAAATAAATGAGGTTTACAGGGGTGGATCCCAAAATAAATGTGCTCAAAACAAATGAAGTTAGTTGTGCAAGACATTTTCTAGATAAAACAATAAGTAGCGTATAATTAGTGTGTGTGTGTTTTTCTCCTCTGACAAAACAACAGCTGACTCAGAGGGGGTGTGGCAGAGGGGGTGTGAAAGATTTCCAAACTCTTCTGCGCTAGAAATAACATGAGTATCCTCGATGAAAGGAGGCTTTGGAGGAGAGAGGGATGAGATACTGAAGGAGAAAGGAGAGAGGAGAGAGGGATGATAGACTCAGAAGGAATGAGGGGAGGGATAGTTGTTGAGCTCACATAAGGTGGGTTATAAGGGGTATACGGGGTTATAAGGGGTTATAAGGGGTTATAAGAGGTTATAATGGGTTATAAGGGGTTATAAGAGGTTATAAGAGGGGTTATAAGAGGTTATAAGGGGTTATAAGAGGCTATAAGGGGTTATAAGGGGTTATAAGAGGTTATAATGGGTTATAAGAGGTTATAAGGGGTTATAAGAGATTATAAGGGGTTATAAGGGGTTATAAGAGATTATAAGGGGTTATAAGGGGTTATAAGAGATTATAAGGGGTTATAATGGGTTATACGAGATTATAAGGGGTTATAAGGGGTTATAAGAGGTTATAATGGGTTATAAGAGGTTATAATGGGTTATAAGAGATTATAAGGGGTTATAAGGGGTTATAAGAGATTATAAGGTATCTCACATGCAGTTGTTGTAGTTGGAGACCACCCCAGGGCCCTCTGCCCTGGTAGGGTGTTTGAAGCAAGGGTTGTTGGCGTTACAGAAGATACCCTGGATCCACGGGATGATACCTGTGGAAGGCATGGCCTTGTTGGGGAAGTGACCTGGAGAGACAGACATGGAGTGAAAGACAAAGTACAACAAATATATGAAGTACTTGAACACTGAAGATACGTGAGAAGCAGTTAGACCTGGTTCTATTTGAAAACAACCTTCAAAAGTCTTATCAAGAGATCCTCTATCAATGCTTCAGTCATTTCCATGATAGCAACCATTTTCAGGTCCCCAGACTCTATAAGATACTAATAAATGGTACAGAGAAATGGTTATAAGTGAGTCTTACATTCATGTTGTTTGTAAAGAGGGTTGGCTTTCCTCAGCCACACCAGACCAATGAACAGAACCACCGGCCACAGAATCTCCACCAGGAAGCGGATCTGAACAGAGACGTGGAGGAGAGAGAATTTACTTACTTACAGTATATGTATTACTATAACTGAATAGTATAATAACTGTTGTAATAACTGATAACTGTTGTAATAACTGTTGTAATAACTGATAACTGTTGTAATAACTATTGTAATAACTGATAACTGTTGTAATAACTATTGTAATAACTGATAACTGTTGTAATAACTATTGTAATAACTGATAACTGTTGTAATAACTATTGTAATAACTGATAACTGTTTTACTAACTGTTGTAATAACGGACAACTGTTGTAATAACTGTTGTAATAACTGTTTAAATAACTATTGTAATAACTGATAACTGTTGTAATAACTATTGTAATAACTGATAACTGTTTTACTAACTGTTGTAATAACGGACAACTGTTGTAATAACTGTTGTAATAACTGTTTAAATAACTATTGTAATAACTGATAACTGTTGTAATAACTATTGTAATAACTGTTCTGATAACTGTTGTAATAACTGTTGTAATAACTATTGTAATAACTGTTGTAATAACTTACAACTGAGGAAGCAGATATATCATACACTAGGGAGGGTATTTGGTTGGGACTCAAATAGGGTGTTACTGATCTGTTGACTTTCGTTGTTGATTTACTCACAGGAACAATACTTTGATTAAAAAACCTAATGTTGATAAAAGACAGTTAGGATAGTGAGTTAGCGGTACCTTCTGTCTCTTGCGTAGAGTCCAGTTCTTCCACAGTAGCAGGCGTACCTGACTGCCTGTATTCATGACTCGGCTTCTCAAGCCCTCAAAGGGTCCTCTTACACTGACAAACCTGGGAATGCAAAAGTTTCAATTGTAGGGTATGTTCATCACTTTATGTCAGCAGAGGATTCAGACGAGTGGTGTGTGTGTGTGTGTGTGTATATGCGTTGCGTGTGCGCGTGCGTGTGTGTGCGCGTACGTGTGTGCGTGTGTGCGTGTGCGTGTGTGTGTGCGTGTGTGTGTGTGCATGTGTGTGTGTGTGTGTGTGTGTGTGTGTGTGTGTGTGTGTGTGTGGTGCGGGTGGTGCGTGCGTGTGGTGCGTGTGTGCGTGTGTGTGTGTGTGTGTGCGTGTGTGCGTGTGCGTGTGCGTGCGTGTGTGTGTGTGTGTGTGCGTGTGTGTGTGTCAGGTGTCAAAGTCAGGTGCACTGCACATGTGTGCTCCTCCCACTTCATAAAATGTCAGACATGTAGCCAGTTGAATGGTTCAGTACACAGCCAGGAACTACTGGCTTGGAGCGACAGGAGAAATAGATGGACTATGACAATCACCTGTTTGGAATATCAGGATGGAACACATGGAACACAGAATACCACAGAGGGTACATTCTAAAGGGATATGACAGGCTATCATTATCTGTCTGACAAAATGTAGGCAATTAAAATCTTAATCTGGTTACTCAAATACTAATTAGGGATGGCAAAAACAACTTAGAAGGACGACATCCTTACAAAACTGATTCGACCAAATCCTAGTGATCTCAGAGGAAAATCATGTGTTATCCTCATCATAAATGCATTGCTAAATGGTATGCAGTATGGTCCTTCCCAGTTTGTAAACTTTTAGTCTCAATGTGTATACTGTACCTAGTTAATTATTATTCAATACATGATCAAAGTTAAATCAAGTCATGTGGACTGAAGAAAAATACTGCGATGAACCCTGATGAACATTATATTTGAATGTTATTCTCCTGTGGGCTTAGGTCAAGAAGGCCCAGCAGCACTGAGGCCCCACACCTGTCACCCTGCCACTGCCAAACCCAACCAGCCAACTGTACCAGATGGAATATGTCCACCATAACAACACAGTAACTAGCCCTATCCAGAGAGATAGAAAGTAACAACACAGTAACTAGCCCTATCCAGAGAGATAGAAAGTAACAACACAGTAACTAGCCCTATCCAGAGAGATAGAAAGTAACAACACAGTAACTAGCCCTATCCAGAGAGATAGAACGTAACAACACAGTAACTAGCCCTATCCAGAGAGATAGAAAGTAACAACACAGTAACTAGCCCTATCCAGAGAGATAGAAAGTAACAACACAGTAACTAGCCCTATCCAGAGAGATAGAAAGTAACAACACAGTAACTAGCCCTATCCAGAGAGATAGAAAGTAACAACACAGTAACTAGCCCTATCCAGAGAGATAGAAAGTAACAACACAGTAACTAGCCCTATCCAGAGAGATAGAAAGTAACAACACAGTAAACTAGCCCTATCCAGAGAGATAGAAAGTAACAACACAGTAACTAGCCCTATCCAGAGAGATAGAAAGTAACAACACAGTAACTAGCCCTATCCAGAGAGATAGAAAGTAACAACACAGTAACTAGCCCTATCCAGAGAGATAGAAAGTAACAACACAGTAACTAGCCCTATCCAGAGAGATAGAACGTAACAACACAGTAACTAGCCCTATCCAGAGAGATAGAAAGTAACAACACAGTAACTAGCCCTATCCAGAGAGATAGAAAGTAACAACACAGTAACTAGCCCTATCCAGAGAGATGGAAAGTAAACAACACAGTAACTAGCCCTATCCAGAGAGATAGAAAGTAACAACACAGTAACTAGCCCTAGAGAGATAGAAAGTAACAACACAGTAACTAGGCCCTATCCAGAGAGATAGGAAGTAACAACACAGTAACTAGCCCTATCCAGAGAGATAGAAAGTAACAACACAGTAACTAGCCCTATTCAGAGAGATAGAGATGGAAAGAGCTTCTCCATATAACGTATCCCTGTGTCTGAATGACAATAGAGTATAGTTTGTTTACAGTGAATTATCAATGAATTAGGGCTGGATAATGAAACCACATGACCTATGCCCATGGACTGCTTGACCCCCTACAGTGAACACATCTACCAAGACAAAACCAATTACATCCTTACCTCTAGTGCACAGATGGAAAAGTCGTACATCTATAGAAATAGTGTAATAAAGGCAATATAATCCCAGACATTGAAGCTATAAGGAAAGCCTATTCTCTTCTCTTCTCTTTCAGTCCAAGTGACCGCTCTTCTCTACTCTTTCCTTCAGTCCCAGTTTCCGCTCTTCTTTTCTCTTTCCTTCAATCCCACTTTCCACTCTTCTCTTTCCTTCAGTCCCAGTTTCCGCTCTTCTTTTCTCTTTCCTTCAGTCCCAGTTACCGCTCTTCTCTTCTCTTCTCTTCTATTGTCTGCGTAGCGGCAGCTGCCTTCTTCCAGGTTAACAACTCTCCTCCTTAATCCCATTCCCTTAATCTCCTCGTTGTCCTGAGGAAGCTCAACATGGACAGCCACAGGAGCAGCAGAAAAGACAACAGTCATCCATTTTGTTTCAGACCTGTCACCGTGACGACTCATTGACTGAACATGACTACTGTGGGAGAGTTGAAGTTGTTTTTACGTTGTTTAGGAGTTAAATGGCTGGGGCCCTAGATAAAGGTGCGTTTATTTTATTTTTAGCAGACGCTCTTATCCAGAGCGACTTACAGGAGCAATTAGGAGTTAAGTGCCTTGCTCAAGGGCACATCGACAGATTTTTCACCTAGTCGGCTCGGGGATTAGAACCAGCGACCTTTCGGTTAATGGCACAACGCTCTTAACCACTAAGCTACCTGTTGTAGGGCTAGGTGTTAGGTAAAGGTGTGTTGTAGGGCTAGGTGTTAGGTAAAGGTGTGTTGGGGCCTAGCTGTTAGGTAAAGGTGCATTGGGGGTTTGGACTACCATCAGGTGTGTATTGAGTCATATAGCTACCTGAACTGAACTGAGTGGTTCTGTTGAGTCATATAGCTACCTGAACTGAACTGAGTGGTTCTGTTGAGTCATATAGCTACCTGAACTGAACTGAGTGGTTCTCTTGAGTCATATAGCTACCTGAACTGAACTGAGTGGTTCTGTTGAGTCATATAGCTACCTGAACTGAACTGAGTGGTTCTGTTGAGTCATATAGCTACCTGAACTGAACTGAGTGGTTCTGTTGAGTCATATAGCTACCTGAACTGAACTGAGTGGTTCTGTTGAGTCATATAGCTACCTGAACTGAACTGAGTGGTTCTGTTGAGTCATATAGCTACCTGAACTGAACTGAGTGGTTCTGTTCACTAGACCAAGGAGTTTAGTGCTAGATTTGAAGAAAAATAAATATGTTTTTAATCCCATTTCTATTATTGGTGAAGATATTTGCACTGGTGACTCTTATAAGAACTTGGGTGTACTAGTGGACAACAAACGGAACTGGAAGGAGAATTCTCACAGTGTCTACAAAAAAAGCCCAATCCAGACTGTACTGTTTAAGGAAGCTTAGATATTCTAATGTATGTGACAAAATGCTTCGTATGTTCTATAGCAGAGTCGTGGTGAGAGTCGTGGCCATTGTGTTCTGGAAAGGGAACTTAGCTAAGGAGGACTTAAACAAGCTTGACAAAATCATTGAGGCAGCCAGTGCTACAATTGGCTGCAGCCTGGAATCAATGCAGCACATGTTCATAAAAAGAATGCGGGTAAAAATACACATGATCACAATGACACCCACCCACTCCACAGCACTCTGACACCCACCCACTCCACAGCACTCTGACACCCACCCACTCCACAGCAATTCTGACACCCACCCACTCCACAGCACTCTGACACCCACCCACTCCACAGCACTCTGACACCCACCCACTCCACAGCACTCTGACACCCGCATTCTGACACCCACCCACTCCACAGCATTCTGACACCCGCCCACTCCACAGCTCTCTGACACCCACCCACTCCACAGCACTCTGACACCCACCCACTCCACAGCGCTCTGACACCCACCCACTCCACAGCACTCTGACACCCACCCACTCCACAGCACTCTGACACCCACCCACTCCACAGCGCTCTGACACCCACCCACTCCACAGCATTCTGACACCCACCCACTCCACAGCATTCTGACACCCGCCCACTCCACAGCATTCTGACACCCGCCCACTCCACAGCACTCTGACACCCGCCCACTCCACAGCACAATGACACCCACCCACTCCACAGCATTCTGACACCCACCCACTCCACAGCATTCTGAACCCACCCACTCCACAGCATCTTGACCCCCCTCCACAGCACTCTGCACCCGCACCACTCCACAGCATTCTGACACCCGCCCACTCCACAGCATTCTGACCACCCTCTCCCACTCCACAGCACTCTGACACCCACCCACTCCACAGCACAATGACACCCGCCCACTCCACAGCATTCTGACACCCCGCCCACTCCACAGCACTCTGACACCCACCCACTCCACAGCACAATGACACCCGCCCACTCCACAGCACTCTGACACCCGCCCACTCCACAGCATTCTGACACCCGCCCACTCCACAGCACTCTGACACCCACCCACTCCACAGCACAATGACACCCGCCCACTCCACAGCACTCTGACACCCGCCCACTCCACAGGGCTCCAATGTAACACAGGAGCATCTTTAGTAGCAGGTTCATCCTGCCCAGATGTTCCACAGTGAGATTTAGACTGTCATGTTTACCCACAGACATGAGGCTTTTTAACGAGTGTAATTGAGTAACTGTTTTATGAGGTCTTCCTATTGGAAAATGTTGTTGCCTGTTTTCCCCCAGAGAAGGAGAGAAAAACAGCAGTTGAATCAGACTATTCTTTTAGGGACACTAAGGTGCAGGTGCCTTTATGTGTCTTCATATGTTTTGTTAGTTATCATGTGTTGGTAATTGTTGCGTGTCATGTCATTGCAAGTCATTG